CTGGGTGAAAAGTCAATAGTTTTTTTCACAGCAATAAACATCATAGTCGTGGTTAATTTTTGTACGTGGCACTACGTGGCAATGACATATCAGATAGTTTCATTAACACCAGGTTTACAATTTTAAAGAAAATTGAATTTAAATCCTTGACCATGATCTCTCATTCTTTCTCTCTCACTCTATTTCTCTCTCTCTCTCTCTTTCTTACAATACAATTCAGAAAATACATGTGCCCTTTTGACCCCCCCCCTCCCCTCGGAGCTTCGTCACTGACTCTTATTCCGGACCGTAAGTCTTACAATTTAACACGTTTAAATGTACAGGTATACCTTGCACAAGTCGAAACCTCTTGGGACCACATAAATATATTAGACTAATAAGAGGTAAATAACATATGTTTTGCATTATCTGGTTGAAAAAGTTGTATCAATTTATTCAAGGTTAACTACAAAACAGATGTGTAGTATAAATTAGGAATAGGTTAAAGATGACCCCCCCCCCCCTCTAAAAATAAAAACAAGTGCCGTATGTAGACAAACCCCCAAAAATGTATAGACTCCTTATGAAAAAAAAGTTAGTGTGGAGCCCCGCACATAATATGCAGGATCCCAAACTATTTTGTTCATAGGCGGTCATGATTATAATTCTTTAGGGTTTGTATATGTTGAGGGCCCACGTTCAAATTTCAAAATTGTTGGGTTCAGAGCTCAATGTGGGGGCCATCTGTATGAGAATCTTGTTTTTAGAAGTCCTACATGACACCGGCCGCTTAAAATCTCGAGCCGCGGATTCAAAGTTAAACGTTAAAAACAGCCCCTGCGGTCATCACTCTTTAGTGAGAAATTTGAAAAAGGGCACAATATTTTGGATGTCTTACGGTAGGGCCGTTTCACAACTCTTAATTTTGCCCTTCATTTGGATTCAGCTCATACCAAATCGCTTGTGCTTGTATTTGAACTCATGTTGGTAGTAATCATGGACAGGGGCGGCAATCCTTGGCCCGATAGGGGGACACGTCCCCCAGGAAATTTAGAAAGATAGCTAGAAAGAAATATAGCGGAAAGAACGCACATATTGGGCTTAGGGATTTTCTAGAATGCATACTTTCAGCATTCAACATTGCAAAATCTCGCTTGGTCGCAACGCCCCGGCCCTTGCCCGATAACACAAAACTATATGGCGCTCCCGGCCGTGATTTATCCATGGTTGGTGTAAAAGATCTTGTTTTCCCTTTCATTTCTATTTACCTAATTGTGTGCTATCACAATCATGATTGTGTCATTTTCCCTTTAAAGTTACTATGTCCCTTTTGCAGCCAACCTCAAATGCTGTAGAACTTTGCAGGAATTATGAATATGTCATGTATGTCCTATCTGTGAAATTTAAACGTTAGCAGTGTCCTCATATTTAAATTATGCAAGGAAAACCGTTTACTTGCTAGACTTCACTGTCAGACACTATTGAGTGAGTGACTGGCTTTTTTCTTGCTTTGGTAATAACATAATTATTAATTATATGAAAATAGTTGTAAAGGGTACATGAGCATTTGTCTACATCAATAACCCACTTCTTGTGATGGCCAAGATTAAACTGATTGAATCTTTGCGCAGCATAAAACGTATGACCATTCGGTACAATTGTCTGAAAATCAAGACTATTACTTTTGGGCTCTATAGCCCTAAAGTCGATTTGACAACTAATAGTCGTTATTTTCCCACTTGAAGACATTTTCAAGCCCCACCTTTTTTAGGGAAGTTTTAAATTAGTATTATCTTTCAAATGCAGTTGGAATTTAACTTTTTCATTTTTTGGCCTGCAAATGGGACATAGTCCCTTTAAAGCAGGCACGTAGCTAGGGGCGGTAGGGGCAGTAAGAGGACATAGGACGAAAAAGGAGCAGACAAAGAAACATTTTTGAAAATTCTGACAAGTCGAGAACAGTACCACGAATCGTCTTCTTTCTCTAATAATTTAATGAAATGTCAAAACTTCCGCGCATCGCTCGGGAGGGGGGCAACTGAATTCAGACAAGGATTGGGAGTCAAGAATGGTAAAACGAATCATCTTCTTTCTCTAATAATTTAATGAAACGTCAAAGCTTCCACGCTTCCACGGGGGAAACTGCATTCAAACAAGGATTAAGAGTCACAAATCGTCTTCTTTCTCTAATAATTTAATGAAACGTCAAAGCTTACGCGCTACGCGCAGGCAGGGGGAAACTGAATTCAGACAAGGATTAAGAGTCAAGAATGGTACAAAGAATCGTCTCCTTTCTCTTATAATTTAATGAAACGTCAAAGCTTCCGCGCTTCGCGCGGAGGTGGGGGGGGGGGGGGGGGGGGGCGAGAACTCAATTCAGACAAGGATTAAGAGTCGAGAACGGAACAACGAATCATCTTCTTTCTCTAATAATTAAATGAAACGTTAAGCTTACGTGCAAAGCGCAGGAGGGGGAATTGAATTCAGACAAGGATTAAGAGTCGAGAATGGAACAACGAATCTTCTTCTTTTTCTAATAGCTTCATTAAACTATGGAGGGTCAAAGCTTCCGTGCTTCGCGGGGGAGGGGGCTGAATTCAGTCAAGTCATAAGAGTCGAGAATGGTACAACAAATCTTCTTTCTTTAATAATTAATGAAAGGGCAAAGCTTCCGCGCTTCGCGCGGGTGGGAGGAAATTGAATTCAGACAAGGATTAAGAGTCGAGAATCGTCTTCTTTCTCTAATAATTTAATGAAATGTCAAAGCTTCCACGCTTCGCGCGAGAGGGGGGGGGGACTGCCTTCAAACAAGGATTACGAGTCGAGAATGTTACAACGAATCGTCTTCTTTCTTTAATAATTTAATGAAACGTCAAAGCTTCCGCGATTCGCGCGGGAGGGGGTAAACTGAAATCAGACAAGGAATCCGAGTCCAGAATTGTACAACAAGTCGTCTTTTTTCTCTAATAATTAATGAAAGGTCAAAGCTTCCGCGCTTCGCGCGTAATGGGGGGGGGGGGGGGGGGACAGCGAGCTGCCCGAATATGAGTTTTTGATATCTTTTCTCGATTATTTTGGTGATAAATAACCCCTTTACAATATACATATTACGCTTAAATTGTTGCTCGCTCGCTTCGCTCACTAGCCGAATTGTGAAACCAGAAAATTACTTTTTCGGGCAAGAGGCTATACCCCCCCCCCCCCCCACGCCCCCAGAGATAAAAATGTCAAAAATTGTACCGGTATGGTGCTTCTAAAATGACCTTGAAAAAACGGTCTGCGCAATTTTCAAATTTCCGGCCCCCCCTATTGGAAAATCCTGGATCCGCGCCTGGTTTTGTACTTGTCAAACAAAGCAATACAACATGGTGAATATTCGCCATATATATAAACCAACTAGAATCGGGTTGGCTAAAAACTGTAAATGTTATGGCTCTGCTGCCCTCTACATGTGATGGATATATAACCCATTCCATGATTTGTTATGAGCATCACATTTCATTGGGGATTGAAGATTTGATAAGATTTAAAGGTAATACAAAGTTTTGGGAAATTTTGAAAATTGGGTGGGTAGTGAATCTTTACAATTTTCATATATTTGGATGCCCCTGCGGATGTATTATAAGCACTAAAAAAATTATTCCCTAAAACACTTCTGTTTTCGAGAAAAATTTAATATAAGAATTTACCGGTGCTCCCGGTAAATTTTGATAAATTTCAAATAGCGCCTATGGCCGTATACAATTGGTGGCTGCGACCATGACAATCTCAGAATATGTAGTTGTGATATATAATTTCCAAACGGGAATAGCTAAACGGTCGATTTTAGTCAAGAAACATTGTTTCATAGCTAAATTAATATCTTGTCCTTGAGAGGGAGCTATACAACATAAAGAGTTTATTATTTATAATTTCATAACTTCAGACTCGATTTCAACCGCGACAACGATCAATGAATATTGTAGGATCGCATATGCTTCCAATATTTTAATGAGAACCGAATTCATGACCCCATACCAAAACTTTGTAATACCTTTAAGTGTCATAATTTCCTCTTTACAAACGGTTATGAATGTCCTAAAACTGTCCCTAAAAGGTTAAAAACTATCAAAATTATACAAGCGTACAAGCAATAAAAAAATTGAATTAATCAATAAAAATAATTCTCTTTCTCTATTTCTCATTTTTGAAACTGTGAAGTGACCGAAAAATTGATATTGGAACTTCAAGATGACATTTATTGCCAAAATAATATAAAAGAAATACTTGTGTTAATGTTTTGTCTAATTCTGGAACTGCTTTGTAATACAATGACGAGTTTTAAATAATTCACTTGATAGCTGATGAAAACTGGACAGCTCAATAGAAAAATATCTTGTGGATTCTGTCTAATTCCATGGCACCAAATTATGTTTATTCTAAGAAAATATTTCACTCAAACTTCCTTCAGAGAACTCGATCATCTCAAATATCTTTGGTACTTCCCAAACATTTGTATTTATTAGTTTCAAGTATTCATTAGTGTGGTAATAATATACATGTGGTTGTATTATATGATAAACAGTGTATTACAGGACACCAATATTTGTTTGTGTGTATCATTTTAATAAAATAGAACAGGTGTACTGTCGTAAGCAATAGCACAACTGATCTACACGAACAGTGCTGGCACTTGAGTGAAGAGGGGGGGGGGCATGGAGGAACTGTTGGGGGTCAGCTTCTGAACAAAAGTATGTAAATGTTGATTTTTTTTCCATCCCTAACCCTTTGCTTGCTTCCCCTCCATTATTAGAATCTGGGTGCCATCACTAAATACAGCATGTACCAAGGTAGAAAGCCTAGGCAACGAATCTTGACAAGTCCTTTTCCATTGGTTCATTTAATGTCTTTTCATATGAATACAAGGAGCGGGTAATATACATCTTTATCACGGCGCTAGCAACACTGCCATGGTAAGGGCAGATTAATGCCTTGCTTGGATTCATGATTCAGTCTCAGACCAGTTGATACATCACAAAGACTTCACACCTTCATTAGCAACTTTATTTAAAGTACAAAACAGAAAGTACACTTCATGGCAACTGCCCTATTACAAACAATAGAAAAGGATCATGCTGCATATTTAATAAAACAAAAAAAATTATGCTGCATATTTGATAAAGCACAGAGGTTATGGTCGCATCAAGGAACTTCACTGCAATCTTTAAACATATCTTGCAGTACTGTCATACCTCATAATTTAACAACTGCTTCAGTGTAGCAATTATTACTATCATTTGGGGGTAGACAGTCAATCATTATCATCATTTTTAGATGAAACAGTATTGAAGAAGTGAGGTACGGACTTGAACATTTCATAGTTGGATAAAATAATCATAAAGCTTGGGCCAAATAAAATTGTAGATTGTTTACCACTTTATTTACATCTTTGACAAACATTTCCCGTTTACTGGGAACATGTAAAATGAAAAGTGTCCAGTTTCATAATAACATCAAACTTGTGTAATGCAGAGAATGTTCATGTATATTCACATCTATCTCATTCAAGGTTGGGGAATATGAACATCTTGCTGAGGGGTGAACATTTTAATTAAATTATTTAAAAAAAATCATAAACCCCCACAAAGAGGTTGCAAAGCCTTATTAACTGAAGATCAATAGAGAGTAAAATCAAAGGTCATCATGAAAGGAAAATAATGGCTTTTAATTTTTATTAGGATACAAAACAGAACAATTGGAAGATTCAATGATGAACAAAACTCTTCCATCATTACATATATAAGAAGATGAAGAAATAACTGCACATTCATGTCAAAGATGTTATCATAATATAATCGTGCAGGTTATTGTGGAGTAGGATAATAGAGTGTAATTGATTGTCATTCAGGGACTATAAATAAATACCTTTGTTATACTATTCAAAATCCAGATGATTACATAACATGCATGTGCAATAACATTGGGTATTTCCCAATGAGTATATGGATTATGCCTGCACTTAAAACTGTTTTTATATAGATGACTAAATATCACTGGCAACTGTGCAGTTTAGTGTTTGAGGTCATTTTCAATGTTCATGCCTAGCTGCCAGATAAGATTTATTATCTCCTCCGACAAAAAATGCCAAAATGAGCTCTTGTATCAACTGCTACGGGCACAATAAATATTGATTTTTAATTATCAATAAGCTGCTTAATAACATTCTATAAATTTGATGTTTGCAATATATTCGGCATAAAGATATATTATGATTAATATCATTAAAAGCAGAACAGTCACTCACTGACACATCATGAAAAAGAGAAGGAAGAATGTCCATTGTGTATATGGCTTGATGATTTATAATAATTTTCTCTTTTTTAATATTTGAAAAAGTGCAGAGTTGACAAAGCTACTCATGTATTAAAATGCAATTCTCCATTCTCCTTAGCATGTTCAAAGTAGCAGTAAAAGCACTAACAGAGTGTAATCAGAAGAAATAGAACTTGCCAACATAATTTTAATATTTCATAAGAGTAGTTACACAACAATAAGGTGCTTTTGCACATCAAACCCATTACACAAAAATGTAATTCAAAATTCTACTTGTTTGGCAACAGAAAACGGCACCTTTATTTCATATGAAATTAATTAAAAAATATTATGATGCTGCAAAAAAAATTGGAAGAACAAGGAGAATATTCAATCAAGCTCAAAAAACAAAATTACTTCTTTCGAGGTAGTATCAACTACATTTTTTTAATGTATAAGTGATCAACCAAAAATATTGGTTAAAGTCCATTTGTCCCCAAACCATCTCTTCCTCATTACAGCTTGAGGAAAAAAAAGCCCACTGTTTACAGTTAAAGTGTGACCAGGCAATAAGCTGATGTTGTACTGAAAGGCTGTGCATAATACAACCTGACATAGCAACACATGGCAAACTCCTGTTTTAATAAAACCTTGAACAAAAACAAAAGTGAGTATGAGCTGTTCCAATATCATTGTGATTTGACAGTTTAAATATAAATACAGTGTTCCAATTCTGTGCCTCGTGTTATGAGCGTTTTGCTTCACCTTTTCCATCAGATGCCTTATCTACATGTTATTTTAGATATAATGTGAATGAAATCATTTACCTATACAAAGGTATCTTAATTGAGGTAAAAAATAGAAGAGAAATTCAAGCAAAGTACAACCTTTCCAGAATCTAGATCTACAAAGGGGCCACTTCAGCACAAGATTTTTGAAGTGGATTCGCAAGCTTTAAACTTAATATTTACTTTATTAGTTCTTTTACTGAATATTTCTTTTTACAATAACCTGCTTCTATATGTTTAGCAGGTGCATAATAGTTAATAAAGATGTACTGTGTCCCAACAGGCTTCTTGGCAGGAAACTAGTTTACCTTTAGTCAATATGAGTGAAATATGGTTTTGCAACATTCCAGGAGGGCGAGATGGGAGGATCAGTGCAATTCTGCAGATCGTAACCCTTATCACTCTCTTCCATAAGAGAATTTGCCATTGGTTTTTGTACCCTGAAATCACCTATGCGCGGTCTCAGCATTAGAACCCTGTATGCAACGCTGACACTACTTCTAGAGAACCCTGTATGGATCACTCACTACCTTTAAAGACTGATGTATGCAGTGCTGATACTACCTCTCAAGAAATAAATTCTATGAATGCAAAGAATTCGCCACATGAAAGTGACAGTTTTTGTCAATGAATACACCACCATACCAAATTCCATAAACAGTGTTGTGGATATTATTTACAATAGGCCAAGCATCGGCTCGAAATACAGCATAAGAGCATATTTACATCGGCAACATGACAAACAAATTTGTATATCACACTATTTATTTTGAATCATTTTTTTTTTGCTTTTGGGAGTTCTCAATCTATTCCTCTAACTACATGTATGTCTACGTTAGTTATAACTAATCCTGCATGCATCTCAATTATGAAATTGAGATGCCTTGTACATAGGCTATATCTTCTCCTGCGTTGTAAATTAGTCAAAAAAAGAAAAATAACAAACTATAAATCCATGGCTTATGTCTGTTACCTTCAAATTTAAATATCCAACCTCTTCTCGAATCTATAGCACCTTAATTATAATCAAATCAAATGTGATGGGGATGGTAATAACTATAATTGTTATTCTTCTTTGTATGATCATTTTCCTTCTGAGGAATTGATTTAAAGAAAAGAATACCAGCCCTCCAAGACTCACTCAGAGGGGGATGGGATCAATTTTTCACAGAATAGAAGGAAACGTCTCCCCCAAAAAAATTACCTTAAAAAGGGACGCCATGCTCCCCTGCCCAATCTACCAAAACCAATAACTTAGATGCCAGACAACCCTGTTTGGTTTCACTGGGAGCGTTAGGCAATTGCTCGTATCCAGCCTTGATTTATTTCAGAAATGCAACTGTCAAATCCTTTGGTGCAAGTATTGTACTTATAGCTTGTTTTAATATACTAAATTAGTAAATTTACATACCAGCTAATCAAAAAGTAATATAATGTATCCTAAATTCTTTGTGTTTATAAAGACATGTACATAACGGTATACAATAATCAAAATAATATGTTAGATATTTCAAAGATGATTCAGTTCGGCGCTGTCATCTGATATATTCAGTCAGTTTCATTAGCCTAACTAGCTGATATCAATAAAATGTTAAACCTACATGTACATGTCCATCCACCAACTTCATACATAGCCCTCTCTAAAGCACAATGACATACAAAACAACTAATCAGGGGGTGTTTCACAAAACTTGTCATCAGTGACAAATGACAGTTTTTGTTATAAGCTAGTGAAATCCTTGCTTCTGATTGGTTATCAGTACATTTATCACTGATTTTTGTAATTTGTCACTGATGACAAGTTTTATGAAACAGGTCCCTGATCAGTTATTGGGCAGGTCCATACTATGTTGTCCCATACATTACCAACTACATCAAAGATATGAGCACATCTGATCATTGTGAGATATTAATATCCTCCCTAAAGCTCGGACCAGACCGCATATGAAGCAACATGACACATTTTATATGACGGTTCATGTTCAAACTCCCCATTACTTGCCTACTTGGTAAAGCATGGGACATCAAACCACCAAACACCTTAGACTTGCGTTATCACAACTCTAGGATTCTGTGCACCTTGCATACTTGTATTAAACGACTAGGTTTATTATATGTACTACCTATGAGAGGAGGGAGGGTGTCATAGATTAAACAGTGTTGGGGTTGGCACCCGCAGCAGCACCCCCAGCTTTGTTCTCCATGCGTTGCTTGAACCATGTTGTCTCTTTGGCGATGAACCACATGTTGCCACCCCAGACAATGGTGTTAAGGAAACCAAACACCTGTATGGAAGAGCAGACAAAGAGAGAGAGAGAGAGAGAGAGAGAGAGAGAGAGAGAGAGAGAGAGAGAGAGAGAAAGGGAGAAAGAAAGAGAAGAACAAGAAATGCAAACATGATGTGATTAAATGTGTACGCTGCAAATTACTTAGAAATGAATATAAACATTTGCATTATTTCTTTGTATGTGGACAGCGTTGGGAAAGGACAGATTAAAAATCAGTTTGTACAATGTAATCATTATTTAAAAAAAAAGGATAAATTTGAATTTAGCAAATGAGGTAAAGAGTATTAAACACCACTCTGGGAGCAAATCGTTATTCAGCGGCTTAATATCTACAGGTCTATCTACATATCTAACGTTTCCAGTTTTACAAACAGGAGATGCATGGCCCTACGTGTTATCAGTGTTTGTGATATGGTGTAATATTGAAGCCCTAAAAAAGTTCCACTTCAAAATGACCATGAAGTGCTTCAAAAAAGTAAAATCTTTGATTGACCGGTTTTACCATACTAGACTATAGTGTTATAAATGGATATTTTGACATTTCAAATTCCAATCATAAATATCTTGATAATCAATCATGCGATTGGCTTGTAAAAGCCTGACTGACCTAAAAGTTTATAATTATGATTGCAGTATGAGCTAAATCCAGGATTTTGTTTCAGAATCTGAATTTCAATTCCAGCCCCCCCCCCCCCCCCCCATCCCCTACCGAGAATTGTTAATAAAGAGCACTGGATTGTTACTCAATACAAAGTTGAAAAGTCCCATAACTACTATACAAACTGAAAGACGTTTCAGATTGGGCTAAAGAGTAAACACTCCCATACAATGGTTTTCTCACCTTGTGTATTACATTCTTTCAATAATACACTGAAAATGAGAGAAAGGAAGTGGGCGAGAGAAAAAAAATGAAATGATAATAATACAAAAAAATTAAAGAAACTCTTTACCACTGAAAAGTTGAGAGATGAATACTTTGGGCTGGTTACTGATTCACAGGTGACTGGCGCGGTACACGTTTGCCCATACACAGTGGGGTTGCTCATAAGGTTGCCAAAGTTTGTCCAGTACTTGACATCGTTAAGCCCTGCTGCCCAGGCACACGATGAGATGAAGAAGAGGAGTACGAACACGCCCGTGAACACTAGATCCTGTAGAGGACAACAAAACATAAAGAATGGTTGTATGACATGTAAATAGCATCTAGACAAATGTGTAGCTATTGCAGTCATTTTTAATTTACAATGTGCATGTTATGTTATAAGATACATACTCCGACGATGTGTGCTCCATTTTTCCATATCCTACAGAAACCGAACTCTAACTTCACACCTACTTTTTATATTTTTCCATGATTCTATAATCGTTATTGAAATATTGAGAGTGGAGTCAGTGGACGAAATCAACCTACAAATAATCAAGGTTATATCACAGGACTATGGATCAACTGTTGCTAACTTTCAGTTTGTCTATCCATCTCACGGTCCACCAGAAGACAAATAGAGTATAAAAGAAATCACCAAAATAAGACGTGATGAAGATGGAAATGGACCATAATCATTCACACCATCAGGTACACGATAGGGTGATTGATTGTCGGGGCATTTCTCCCTTCACAAATGCTTTTGTGATATGATATTTTTTCACCCAAATGTTCTAACTCATCCTCTTCCATTTCTGCAGGCTTCAAGAGGCTTGTTTTAGGTTTGGGAAGGAGAAAGATATCAACCAATCAAGTCTAATCTTCTTTTCCCCCGCTACATTGCAGGAGCCTCTATTTTTGCATGTCTCACAGCAACAAATGCGGACAAGTTAGGCATGACATCGACTGTCATCACTACAGATTTCTCAAAAGCCTATGGCAGGGTTGACCATACTGTGGTACTTAGGAAATTGATAGAACTCAACCTGCAAGGTTTCATTGTAAAATGGATCTCTAATTTCATGACTGGTCGCATCCAGCGTGTCCTATACCAAGGCTGTCTGTCAGAGAAATCATCACTGAAAACAGGTATGCCACAGGGTACAACGCTAGGACCAATGATCCTCTCTCTACCTCTGGAGTTAGGTATTGGAAATATGTTCATGTTGAAGTTTGTTTTGTATCCCATGTTTATTCTATGTATATTTCTTTATGTCTTGGGTACTCCATTAATCAAGCCTTGGCTTTCAGTGGGCACCCTTACCATTTACACTGTATTCATAATTTTCATACATGCATGATTTGTATACTGGTACTGATTTTGATTTTAAATGGTTTAATAAAACAAATTAAATTGAATTGAATCCCAGACTCTTGAAGTTAGATGCTCTGATAAGCCCTGCCAAATCAAACTACATGAAGGCTACTCAGAAACCCAAGCATTCTACCCTATAAAATGCACGACTGAAAGGTATCGATGTAGCCCAATCATGTTCATTGTAAGGGTTCTAAATGAAATTTGATCCTTGATCTCTTTCTTTGTGTGTGATAAATTGCGTCTCTCTGGAAGTTATAGGTGTTATCATTCAAATCTCTGGTTTTATAAATGCGACCATATTTTCCACTCCTTAACCTTTTGAATATTCTTTATGAAAACCATATTTGCCCTCATCTCTTTCATCATGATATTTTATACTGATTTATTATTTAACCACATATGATGTTAATTGCTTTTATGTTTTGTAGTTATATTATATTCTAACATCTTGATAATTGTAAATGTCATGCTCATCACTATGTAAACCAGGAAGCACCTGATCTTATACATTCAATATCACGTTGTCTGTTGGTTAAATTGCGTATGTACTGTGGCAAACTTACTTCTGATTTACCTTGCCACATTTGCCATTGTTTGTATTATCTTATAGTATTGTTGTATGTTGATGACCACCTACTCCCTGTCTCCCTTTCTGCTTCCTTTTCTCACCTCTCTCTCTATCTTTCTCTCTCTACCTCATCCCCTCTCTATCTCTATGCCAATCCATCTCTTTCTTTCTCCCTCCCCCTCTCTCCACTCTCCCTGCCTTACTGTTGCGGTCTTCACTTACATCACAATAGATTATTTTGAACCTTCACCTTTACACCTACAGTAATTGTACTACTAATTTCATGTAAGGCTGTGCACAACAGTGTAATGAGGTACCTGAGTACACTCCCATGCTTACAAGCGAATACTCAAGTATTCGGACGCCATGTTTTGTTTTTTTTAAATAAAAAATTTTAAATTTTTTTTTGATTTTTTTTTTTTTGATTTTTGTTTTTGTTTTTGCCACCACCATACATACCACTGGAGCAGTATCCCAGTTCTGTCGCCGAAAACGCATGCAATTTTACTTTGAGTTGCAGTTGAAGGCGCCGATTTAATAATAATAATAACAGTGAACAATGCTGTTTTAAAAACCAAAGATGGCAGAATAATCCATTTTCCTCTAAGTCCAAGCAGAAATCCAGACATTTGGTCCCAGTTTCTGAGTGGTGAGTTTGACAGTGCTTGAGTTGGGAAACATTTTTACCGACGGCACCATGCCAGCGGCCGCCGCTCACCCAGGCACGGGTAAGCGTCGGCCTGGACATTTAATTTTTTTTTTTTTTTTTTTTTGCGGCCGAATATTCGGGTACGAGAAATCGTACCCGAGTAGTTGTCAACCGTGCGGGTACTCGAGCATTCGACTACCCTTCACAGCCTTAATTTCATGGTAGACTTACATTTGTATATGTGCTCCTTGGTATTATATTCAAGAATAATTTACAATTACATACTGTTTACTTGTATTATAATCATTTATATAGTGTATTTTTTTAATCATATAAATACATGTACTTTTGTAAAAATATTGTACATTTCAGCTGCAATGCATATTTATGACCATACAGTAGTGATGTACTCACGCATACATAGTGGATTTCCTTCTCGGGATATCTGGCTTCGTAGATTACATACCAGAGCAGGGAGCCTATCGTGTAGAGCATGGCCAGAACCCCGACAGCTACGAAGAACTGAGCTGACCCTGAAGGGTTCGATGACACCACGGGGGCAGTGGTAGAATTGCAGAGAGCAGGTAAAGCGTTGCTCTCAATTCTGAAGGTGAATGGCAGAAAGGTGAGAGTGAAAATGAATAGATTAGCATGTAAGTTTGTACATGTACAGTTTAAACATGTTAATAACTCACATGATTTACAATTCTCCTGAACACATATAAATAGAAAAAATACATTGAGCTAAATTATTAGTTTTAATACTTTGGTTATTTTGTGTATTGTTAGAATGGGAAACTTTCACAATTTGTAAACAATGTCGGCCATCTTCTTGGCAAGAAACCTTTGCACATTGCAACAAATCAGCGTTGTGTCAATTGTGATTCAATTAATCTGTGGCGTGAAAGTTTTGCGAATCTGAATCACTTTCTGGTTTGAAGGTACTTTAAGGCAGCATTAACAGCCTTCTTGCTCTAGACAAACATTAGGTAGAATATAATATTGCAGAAAGAAAATGTAGTACCGTAATTAACGGTGTATAAACCGCACCTTCTTGCCGCCGAAAAAAAACCAAAGGTCGGGGGTGCGGTTTATACACGGTACACCAAAAAAAAAAGTTTTTTTTTTTTTTATTTATTTATTTTATTTTTTTATTTATGCCCCTCAACCTGGCGCTATGCCTGGCAATGTCTCCCAGCTCAGTAATCGGTGTGTTGACTCACCACTCGGAAACTAGAACAACACTCAAATGTGTCTGTCCTCTTGGTTTGACAGTAATCTTTCTGATAGATTTCAAAATGTAGTTTATAATAATAATTCCTCCAATTTTTCTTCTATTACAAGGTTCTATCCTAGGTCCTCTATACTGTGTTTTAAGTCGGCAAAAAAAAAAAGTCGGCAAAATTTTTTTTTTTAAATTGGATTTTTTTTTTTTTTTTTTTTTTTTTTTAGGACGAAAAAGAGGGGTGCGGTTAATACACGAGGGCGGTTTATACAACGTTAATTACGGTATTCACCTGAAAGGATACATGACATCAACCTTGTACGTGTGTCCAGCAGCACATGATGCTGTGAAGGAATATGAAGTAGCATATCCAGCAGTAGTGGCAAACATACATACAGCCAGGATCTAGAATACAAAGAGATCAAATATTCAAAGCTTAAACTGTATAGGTAGTACTTACATGGAATGTGTACATGTAGTTGTACATGTACATGAAGGTTCTAAAACAATTAGCTATAATATGAAGTTAATGTAGATCTTCATGGAATTGGAGATGTACAGTACATAGGCTCTATAACAATTAGCTAGGGCCCACACACAATCCACAAACATCCTGTGAACTGTTTTTTGAAAAAATAGCAATCATATTATTATTAGCTATGGAAATCTAACCAAACACCATCTTCCTGATGTGGGTTCTAACTTCTAAATAATGATAGAATACTAACAACCAGAATTTTAGTGCATTGAACTCTTCTAGTCAAAATAAAAGCCAAATTGGCTTACAGTCGTAGAAAATCGCACTACTGGTCTGACATCGCTACGAGTCTGAGCTGATTTACCTTTTCCTCTTCCGAGGAAGCATGAAATCCCTTGAAACAAAGATTTTTTTAATCATATGAATATTCAGATCTTTGATAATAATTATTTTACATGTCTGAATCTTCAAACAAAATGATCTTGCACATTCTTACAAAATCTGACGATACTATAGTGTACGGAGGGCGTAAAACATGAAGTCAATGTAGATCTACAACAACTACATGACATGGTGTAAAGGAGTGCTTTCAGCATACATCTGGACTCTCTTTTAAAACAAGGTCTTTAGAGAGCTCTATATCAAGTATGGATGTAATTACAAACAAATATGACTGAAGACAGTATGGCTCCAGCATTCCATTAAATCTGAAATTGTTATTTATCATGGTAAATTCCTTACATAAATAAACTACCAACAAAAAATCAAAATATATATATTTACTTCAAATACATTATAGAACATGATAACCTTTAGAAAAGGGGCAGCCAGAGAAGCATTACGTTTCAGCACACTCCCAGAAGAGAATAATAATACATACATGTAGGTACTGTAGCATAAATAATACCTGTACACCTGTAGCCTACATGTACACAGGCAAGAGGGGTCAAAGCATGCTCAACGATACATAATGATTGCTACAGGGACTGACTGAGCTAGGGAGTCTGGACATTATGCCTGATATACCTACAGCTCAAGTCACCTGCCTGACTGTATTAGCATGGAATAAGATGAGCACCTAGGCAAGCATGCATATTGGTTCTCTGTCATACAGTCCTGCAAGAACCTATACCCTAGAGGCACTTCAAGTGTGATATCGAGATGGAGTGGATGCTTTTAAGAGAGAGAGAGAGCTCTGTTCCATACATCTGACACCCTCTATCTCTCTCTCTCTCTTTCTCTGGTCTACTGTCACACAGGTCATAATCTTGCTCATCTCATAAATGTAACCCAATCGTAATTCATGCAGCTTTTTACAGAGTTGACAATGTGCAAATATGTCCGGACTTCAGTTATCCAATTTCAATTCTGAGCTTTCTTTTTCTTTTGATATCTATATTTTAAAATTCTTCTGTCTCTAATCTCTAACACATATTTATTTCCATATAGATGTGTTTATCTCACATGAATTCCGCACAATGCAAAGCTTTTATCACAGCACATGAGAACAAGTCATTGGGATATCATATTTCCCTCTCTAGCATACCCTTACTGAATATACTGGTAGTTATAATTACATTTGTCCATTGTATTTCATTAATAGCACACTATTACTAACAATACATGTATTGTATGTACCGGTACATACAGTATGAAAATATATCTAAGATTAGATTGTACTTACTACTACTAGAACAAATTTGTTGAAATAAAATATCCAGAGTTGGGCCTAAATGTATCTATTGTTTGTTTCACATACCAATGTACTTTGAAGTAGCCTACTATCTGTTGACACAGAATGGAATGAAAATTATCACATTTTCTAAAATTATCCAGAGAATTAATTGGGCATTACTCAGGCTTACATTAAGTGTAAATTGTGTGTTTGGCTTCTGCTGCTGCTACGTACTATCCATATAGAGTTGTGTTTGCATGTGTGTGCATGTGTGCTATTCTGAGTAATGATTTCCTATCACTGTCTATTTACAAGTCGGCATTAATTTTGTACATCACAACTGCCCCAAAACTATGTACATTGTTATTAAAGGTACTATGGTTCATTTGCAGGCCAAAAAATGAAAAGGTTAAATTCCAACGGCATTTGAAAGATAATACTAATTTAGAACTTCCCTAAAAAGGTGGGGCTTGAAAATGTCTTCAAGTGGGAAAATAACGACTATTAGTTGTCAAATCGACTTAGGAGCTATAGAGCCAATAAGTAATGGTCTTGATTTTCAGACCATTGTACCGAATGGTCATACATTTTATGCTGCGCAAAGATTCAATCAGTTTAATTTTGGCCATCACAAGAAGTGTGTTATTGATGTAGACAAATGCTCATGTACATGTACCCTTTACAGCTCATTTTATGTATGTTATTACCAAAGAAAAAAAGCCAGTCAGTCACTCAATAGTGTCTGACAGTGAAGTCTAGCAAGTAAACGGGTTTCCTTGCATAATTTGAATATTAGGACACTGCTAATGCCAAATTTCACAGATAGGACATGTACCGGTATGACATATTCTTAATTCCTCCAAAGTTCTACAGAATTTGAGGTTGGCTGCAAAAGGGACATACATATGTAGTACCTTTAAAAGTCATGAACTGAAAAAGTGAAAATGCAACAAGCTGAATGAAAGAGCTTTAAAAAAACTTTTTTTAATTTTAAATATTAAAAAAATCTAATGTACCATGAATAAAACTGTAAATTTAAATATAGAATGAAGCCAGGCTGAGGCAGGCCAATCACAATGGCATAAACTGGTCATGAATGTAGCTTGGCACTCCGCATCCAAAACTATTGGGTGATTGGCCATTTAAGTAAAATTCATGTTTTTAAATTAAAACTAATCACTGTCTCCAATATTAAATCTTGTTATGATGAAATTATTTGTCTGCATAACATAGAATATCGTCACTTTCTTAAAATAATGGCCCGAGTCACATTTTGAAGATTTTTTTTTTTTGCCCAAGTCATCTCTTCATTAGATCCACCTTTGTTAAATGGCATATGTGCTGAATTGAACATACTGGTATATCGGTATGCATGCTGCTTACCGGTATACATGTACCTAGTTAGTATTTAAATGGCCTTAGAAGTCAAGCATGTGAAGAAAAAATATATCAATATCATTGAGTATTAAAACCCAAAGTAAATGAGTAATCTAATCCTCTTATGAAACAGATTTGATAAACAGCATCATTTGTATTTCAATAGTTGTATATCCCCAAACCTTTCTGTGTAAAATGAGCCAAAAATACTATTTATTCTATAATTTGGTTCAGTTTTCTCTGTTTTTCTCAAATTGTGAAAATATGACATGGGCTATTATATTTAGAAGATGATGACATCACTTCTCTTCATCGCTTGAGCTCACATGTGACTAGTGATGTCAATGTCATATGATACTGGTATGAACAATTCTTGTATTATTTTTTCATTGACAAAGTAAACATATTTCATACAGTGATTCATGGGCATGCATTACTGATTCAACTTGTACTTGATTCAACAGTGGGAATGTGGACTTTAGACCCATTCAAAACTTCTGCAATCAAATGTCATAATGTAGAACAACAATTACAGATCAAAAGATACTTGTCCAGGTACACATACTCTTTATGTTTTATCAACACGATTCGTCATAATCATTACCGGAACACTGGTATCAATAACCAAAGAGTATGTTATCATAAGCCTTAACTTCTATTATAAGAAACTTTGCTCGTACAATATGGTAGGCCTACTGTTCCAGGTGAGGTAACTGTGTACGTCATACAAATCAATAATTACAGTATGTACAGTATACACATTTTGAAAATGTTACTTGTTTTAGCAATACCATTATGAAGACAATACAGTGTTGTTTATGTTCAGTGGCCAAGAGAGACGGGATGTGCAAGTACAATGCGGCTATAGCTCCTATACAATTTACGTATCACATACTGGTAGTACAATGGCGCTTGTAATAAAAAGCCACCACAGGGTTTTCCCTAAATACATGTACAGGGTAGATCTCTTAATTGTATTTCATTATAAGTTTTGAAATTAATTGAACATTCAATGTACAATACCAATGGTATGATTATAATCATGTTATTGCATTGCATTTAGTGTATATGTTTACTTGATTTTACTGTGTTTTATGGAAAATGAATTACATAATGAACTGAAAATACTTAAGTGCTTAGCATGTTTGATCAACATGCACACAGACTTCATAATTGGTAAAGGGACATTTTATTGTATGAGAGCCCTCTAAAGCATGTAAAGTGTATTAGACTCCTGCAAGGTTAACGGTATCAGGATTAAGCAATTATAAAACCTTACATATAACATGGCTATACCAACTGCATCAAAATCATGCAATGGCCATGATGAGTTACAAAAAACATGAAAGATATAAGATATTGCTAATGAAACATTTGTATAGAACATGTATACAAGTTCTAAGAAGGCACATTATCTAACAAATGGCATGTCATACATCATGTCACAAGAAATGTCTCAAAAAATTAAATTGAAGCTCTCATCACCAATCATGTGAAAGAATGTTTTGACTAATACGTGATGATACAAATTTTGCCGGGAAATCGCCTACTAATTAATATATTTAGTAAATTATTATATCTATCGGGACTGGATAGATGTAGGGTAGTCCCATATACATCTTTCTCTGTACAGCGGTTGTAACTTTACCAAGACTGGGCCAAATTTCTTATCATTTTGATGATTCCAGAACCTTGCAGTACACACCAATACTTATATGCTAGATGATCAACCTTTTCTGATCGATTCCACAACGTTTCTTTCACAAACGGGCATGACCAGAACTGCCTTTAAAGTCCTTGATTGGGATGCCTGGACAGCCAGGTAACTGTAATATATACTGCATGTACTTTCAAATACATGTGCATGTAACTTGAATCCAATATAAATAGTAATGAAATATACATGTACGTTGAGTACATTCTGCTGATTAATTAACAATTCTCCAAATGTAAAAAATTTCCTAAGCTGACAAATTTTTCTGTGTCTTTAAAGTTTTTTTCCCAATAGAATGATTGACATATCAACTTTGCAGACTGCATAACATTTGATCCACTGAAAAACTTTATGGCCCAATTATCACATTACTTAATGAAAATATAATTGTGTATGATTATGAAAGTGAGTGTATTACACATGGTTTCAGTTTTGGGGGCAGGATAATCTCTAGGTAGAAATTACGTAGGTAAAAACAAATGTTGATAGTCTTTTCATGTAACTTAAACATGAAGTATATGTAATAAAATGTTCAAATAATTTTGCTTTCTTGATACGTATTATAACTCAACACAATGCCTGAAAGCCCTGCATACATGTAGAAACCTGTACATGTAGATCTAGGAAATCTAAACTTGTATTGTTCACATCTGACAGGAGAATGTAGGTTGCTGCATGAAGCCAAGATTTATGAGGCCAAAGAACTAGAGGGAGGTGTTTTCTTTTTCTACACTAGGTGCATAGGACAGTATGTAAAAAGCACTTCCATTGTTGACCATTGCTTTGCCAATGAAATCGTTATCAATGCCATTGACATGTGAGGCAAACGTTTTGTCCTACAATAAAACAATGCAGTCAATGCTGTTATGGGGAATTTATGCAGACAAGAAAACACAATCCTCACTATGTATTAGAAACCCTGAATGCTTGGCAATCAGATTAAATCAATGTTTCACTTGAAAAAGTAAGAATCAATTCAAATAAATATGATATCTTTGGATATATTGTGCTTATAATGATGCTAGGATTGTGTGTATGATTTTGATCCCAAAATGGAATACATGTATTCTTTAACAACTTAAGTTTTATAGTAAGATTTTCAATTAGGAAAGCTGATCCGTTTTAAAACATTCCATTGAAGGTTAATCATGGCCTTCTGACCTCAGGAAATGGGAGGTGACTCAGGCATCAGAGTTTCCTTTAAAAAGATAACTTACAATGGAACCTACACTTGTGAATGATTTCAAGATTCTTACTAGATTTTACGGTGTGTGGGACATTTCCTACAAATCGTTTTTCTTGTGATCCAAACTTCCTGTTTTTCCCTGTGAACCTAAGTCTCTTTTAGGTTTACATACTTTATTCTGGGCTTCTCTAATGGTAGAATTTCCTTGACATTAGCTAAAAATGTACAAGACTAGATGATAGTCTATGTGTGCGTTAACCTAAAATTGTTTTGTTAGTACCTGTTATTTTACTTTTTTATTACAAAAAACACAAATTTGATCTACTGTAGACATGTACATTTGGTCTCGAGATTAGCATTCATTACATTTGCATTACTTAACAGATTTTACATGGGTATCGAAAATAACTTGAAAATATGCATTATTTATAGACATTTGTTCCCAACAACTTACAACTTCAGAATGTGTAGAACTGAGACAAACAAGAAATTACATTTAAAACACTGAATTGGAAGACTAGACTAGGTCTATGGCACTCCATCATATGGAAGTGGACTAAAATCTTTCAAGTCATAGCTGGCTCAGCTCTGGTCCCCTTGAGTTTAGCTTACCGGTAGAGTCTAAATGAGGAGTAAGAAATTTCACTAAAATATCAGAGCCAACTTAGATCTAGACTCTAGTCTATGCTGTATGCATTGTTAGATTCTGAAAACAATATTTTCTTTTAATTATAGTTTTTGTTACTTGTCCGACGATGCGATGTAAATCCCAACACCGCAACAGTTAGAAAGTAGAGTTAGATCTATGATTACTGATATGCTGGTATTTCAATAAACGTCATATCTAAAATTGACAAGTTTCGTCATAGTCATTAGAATGTAAAAACGACTCGTCGATCGAACACTTACAAATTCAATAGCCCGTAGGAATCCACGGGGCTCCATCAACACACGCAAGCGGTATTCTTGGGCGGTACCTCCGGCTCCCGAAGCAGGCGGGGCCTGCAAAGAAGAGACGAGACGAAATTCGACAGCATTAATTCAACATTGTCAGACAAAAATACGAGTCTTAGTATCATTTATTGAACATATCGATGAACACACTTACCCCTTGGCTCATTGGTGCAGGCTCATTAGGGTAAGCACTAGCTTTATCAAGCGCAGGATCAGGATCCATGATTTTAGACGTTAAATTCAACAATTTAGATTGCGAATGGGCGCCTCAGCTATATCGATTTGTAATGTAATGATATTGTCGAGAGATGGCGTCTTAGGCAAATAATAAAAAAATGAGAAGGCGAAAGCCCACACCAATTTTTAGTGACCTGCCAGTTTCACAAATAAGGTGTCATAGGGTGCGTCTTCCGAAATGGGGGGGGGGGGGGGGGGGGGGGGGGGGCACCAGCAAAAAGGGCACTTTTTGGACAAAAGGGCACCTACAAAGGGAAACATCAACCCAATATGGGTTTATACCCCTCCATCGTCATTGCAGTGATTACACTAGCTACCAGGGATGACATCAGTTCTCTCTTCACGTGGTACAAGATAAGCAGCATACTTTGCAGTTGGGTGTGATGGTCTGAATATTAATTTTCTAGCGGGTGAACAAAATTTTAAAGATTTGTGAGGTCCCAGTGCGAAAAATAACATCTTAGAGAGAAAAAACAAACCTTGATGAATGATGACTACTAAGCACAATCTAATGAAGAAAGACTGAAAAGTTCTTTCATAAGTATACGTAATTATAACATCTACAAATGCGAGCAAGCGTAGCGAGCGAGTTCTAGGAAAATTATAGAAGAACGGGCTCTATTCACTTTGAATTAGGGGTGCATGTTATTCAGAAAGGAAAAGTAGGCACTTAACGTGTCAAAGTAAAAAGGGCAATTTATATAAGAGGTGAAAATGGCACTTCTTGCATTTGTTAAAAGAGGCATTTTAAAAAGGGGGAGGGGCTCATATAATGGAAAAGGGGCACTTATCCGAAGGAAGTGTAGTTATTAGAAAGGAAATAATGGTACTTATTAGAAAAGGAAAAGTAGCACGTGTCAAAATAAAAGGGGCACTTATCAGAGGTAAAAAGTGGCGTTAAATAGAAAGGGAAGGGGGCCTTATTACGAATGAAAAATTGCACTTATTAAAAAGGAAAAAGGGGCCAGAGTCAAAGCAAAAAAAGAGCACTAGTACTTATCAGAGATGAAAAGAGAGAAAACGGACAGTTATTGGAAAAGAAAAGGGGCACTTGTCCTATGTAAAAAAGGGGCACTTTAGGGGCACTTGAAAAAGGTGGAAAGCACAGTGCACCCCCTCCCCCGACCGGGAGTGCCGCCTCTGGCATAATGGGCAAAAGTGAGAGAAAAAAACCCGGAAAATCAAGTCATCACTGGTATCGAATTAGAACCGTAAACCACGCTTAAATTTTTTTTCTTTGGGGGGGGGGGGTCAACTAACCCTAAGCCCCTCCCCATCAGTACGCCAGTGGATACGCGTCAAACATATCGCGATGGAGTGTAAAGATTGTTCAGGGGATTTGTATATTCTCTTTTGAATTAAAAACAAAACAAAACAGCATCATATTGCTCGACTTGATCGTCACTGAAACCTCGATTACATAGGTTTACCTTAAAGACAAACCCCAGAATTTGTACCCCTTTTTTCATATTTTTTACCCAAAGGCCCCTGGCAATGGGGAAAAGCTTTTTTTTTAATATCAGGACAAAAAAAAGATGCATTGTGCCGTACTCATAACATAATTCTGGATCCATCCCTGCTGATATAGTACATTTATTTCTCAGACTCCGCCCTTTAACTGCCATTTGTTTTGTTTTGGAGCTTCATTCTCAATTTTCCTGGACTTTGACGTCATTCTCGTAATGAAAGGAAAAGCCATCTTTAATTGGTTGAATCTCAGATATTGATTAGTAAAACCTGGCCCGCGCAACCACCTATACTAATTGCCCCATCATCGACACAACCTCCAAAAGTACAACAAAAACAAACCAGAGGATGAATGATTCTCCATGATTAACAAAAAAAACCTGTCTTCATCGAATTCTCAGTGCTCCCCATTGACAGAAGCGTCTTTCCTATAAATAGTATTGTCCAAAGAAGACAATCACTGAAAGACTTGGAAGAGTATTTGATGCGAAGAAAATCAATAGATTTGGACGGATTAAGGGGTGGATTATCGGCACAACAGAAGCCTTGGATGAGCCATAATAGAATAACGGTGAACAGTATTATCGATAAGGGGCTGTGTATAGATATAGAAGGTATATACAGGGGGTTGGTTGTTAGGAAGCATAACATAACCGCAACAGGCAGCGATCAAGGTAGACAACGACTGATCAAGAGGTCAAGAAAATCATAACTATTGCCTCATTTCCAAGACAAAAGATATCGGGAATAACTGCAGAGCAAGGAAATATGTTATATGAGACACATTACTTGACTGGATGAAATTTGCATTTTTTATAATCATTTTGAGGGCGAAGGACGCAGGAAAGGAAACGTTGTTGACAAAGATCATCTTGGATTCGGACGCATGCTGTTGTTTTGCAAGTCCAGGAGTCTGATACGCTTTTATAAGTACCGAATAACATTTTGTAGTTTAATCGAGAGAGAATCGCCCTACAAAAGAACCATGTCACTCTCAACGATCCAATTATTTGCTAAATATCAAACTTTGCTTATGTAATCTTCAAAGACAATATCTTGCAAGAGCGTTTGTATAGTTTGGAACTATAGTTTGAGTGAACTTGTTTACAAAAAAAGTCTGACTGGACGATCGCTTCAGAATAAAACGGTACAAACAACATGGTATAATTTAGAAGATGATATCATCTTTTCTAAGGAAGATTTTTGCTCCGGTTGATATCAAGTTTGGAAGATTTCCTTAGAAAGATACACTTTTAGATAACTATCAAAATAGCTAAAGACAGCATAAAGTCACGATGATGGTCCTTGAGCAAGCCAGTCGTCCAGCTACCAAGCAGCACGGCGAGGCAGACAATACCCAAGATGGTCACGGAAAAGAACGAAAAGGACGAAACTCTGGTGATATCCTCGCCCGACGTCGCTTCGAGAATATTCGGAAGCATTCGGCACGCACTCGACATCGTACTGGTATCATCAACAATGGTGAAAAGAACAGACTGACGATTGCAGAAAAGCAAATGGTATGTCGCACACTTCCCGTTATTTTCTTTTTATTGATTTTCAGAACACTTTTGATGGATATGAGGGAAGGAGCCTAAAATGCATCTTGTTCAAAAAAGTGTCTTTCATTTCAGACGACAGTTTCTATCAACCAAAATTCCCTTGATATCTATGTTCGTATGATAAGAATGATAAAAAATATGATTATGACATATAACTAAAGGCCTATCAAATTACTTTGCCTCATTTTTGTCATTGGGATGAACCGAGAGCCTGCGAGACTTTACCAAGATTGACAGATGGTCCACGAGACTGAAATGTCGACCGGCGGCCTTGTGGCCCTTCTGTCAACTTTTCTAAGGGTTCACTACATTATCGGTCTCGTGTACCGTCGGTTATATCAAGGAGTGATGAGAGCGGTATTCCTCTGTCATAGTTATACCACGGTTATGCCTTTGGGGGTCTGAATGGTGAATGTGTAATCTCTTCAACCATATTATTATCTGCATCCTTCTATCCTAACCTCCCAATTTGTCACACATTCCCTTTAGGCAAAAGCACACAAGATGGCGGAGGCTAGAGTCCATCGCTTGCAGGAGCAGTTAAAAAGGGAGCTCCATGAGATGGAGGCCGGAAGGCGAGCCCTTAGGAGACGTTCTATCTGTGTTAGCGATGAGGACAGGGACAAGGATCGTCATGATCTCACAAAATACTGCCAGAGAGGTAATCATGATGTTTCTCTTTTCTTATGTTAGCATTAGCTGATAAACTCTTGTTCACTTGTTCTTGTGCAAGTATACCCTGACGGAGCTAATTGATGATGCATTTTTTATCACTGCAATTCATGCCATCTTCGCTAATATTAGTTTGTACATGTACGTCATCCTTTCAATCCTTTGTACAATCTGTGAAATGTTCTACTTTATCTTCATATTTATGAAATAAGACCGTTTGGGGAACATTTTTTTTCTTCTTCATTGATTGTGGATGGATACTAGAGAGCATTACAGTCGAGTTTGGGAGGGGTGTAGGGGATTTATCTCTCTTTTTTGCGTTGAATCGTTTTTTCCTTTTTTCTCTCTTTAATTTTCTCGCCATTCGAAGGGTTACGTCAAGATTGAATAATATTCCTTTACATAAACCCTAAATCAAAATTAGGCCTTTTAGCTTTGCTTACCCATCATCCTCTATTTAGGCCTGTACAATATTGATGACGCAATTTTTTATATTCTTACTTACTTTGCTAGGACGCTATCTTTATGCCATGCGCAATGAAATGAAGACCCAAAAGGTGGACATGGAATCATACAACGGACGTCTGGAGAAAGCCAAGAAGATGTTGCAACCGGCAAAGAGGAACAGCACCTTGGCCATGGATAGAGGCAAACTGTTAGGACTGGCCCCGGCCAATTCCTACCTCCAGGTTGGTCGTCGTATCAGCGTGGTCGAGGCACCACCTGCAGCCAAGCTTCTTGCCTTCCAAGACAGCGACGACGAAGACGAAGACGACATGGAAGAGATCACAAAGACGATGCCGGTGAAGATACGTCTTGAGAAGAAGGATATCAGGGCAAGGTCCCTAAGCAGTACGAAGACCCCGCCGCCGTTTGATGTGAATCAGTTGAGGAAGGAGTTTGGCCCAGAGATGCGGAAAGCCTTGGAGAGTCTGATGATGGATGATCCAAGTGTGATGCTGGCCATGCCCGTTTCAAGGGAAACCACTCGAGGAAGCAGAAGAGACCTTGAGAGTCATGGACCTCTGGACCAAATAGCATACGCGAATAGACCCAGCGAAAGGTCACAGTTGGACACCCAGCCAGATAAGGTTGGGGATATTGGTAAACTGAAGCTGCCACCTGTTCAGGCGGAGAAGTCACTGGTTGGGCGGGTTCCAAAAAATCACAAAGTTCCTGCTGCTGTCAAACCTCTTCTGAGTACAGTTACAGAAACATGAAACTTACGGACATCGCCTCGACAATCTGTGAAGGATGACGAAGACAGTTTAATATCCATTAATTATTACGAAGCGGGGTATAGAGGAGTGAATTAAAAAATGCTTTACAACCGGTGCTTTTTGGAGCACACATGGACAGTCATCCAATCTAGAAATGATTTCGTCAGTAAATATCGAGTTACAGGAACTACAGAATGGATTGTCAATATAATACCTGGGCATTTTTTATCCTGTTCAAATCATACTAACTTTATACATTTTGTAAATCTTCATAACGACTATATTCGCGAGATTCTCAGGAATTATTTAACTTGCACTTTTATCCAGAGAATTCAAATAATTGTTGATTTGGCTTAATCTCAAGTCACCAAAATGCACATTTTCAGCGTTAAAACGAACTCTGGGGTTATAATCAAAATGCATTAAATTTAATATTTTAAAATGATGATTACAATCTGCAGTAGTACCTCAACCATTTTGTTGAGCTTTATCTCGACATACTCGTTCAACTATTCATTTATGTGTATAATGGACTCGCACTTAAAGCAAAGACAGTTCATGACAATTCATCTTGCAAGATATGCTGGTAGTTTGGTGTTACAATAATGGATATACATACTTATAAATTAGACATGTAAGTGTACTTGAATGTAACAGATACATGCAGGCTACATTGTAATAGCTTTACAAGCTTTAGACCTCAGCAATACAAAAGGTTTAAGACACGTAAGACAAGTAAGACCTCATTTAAATAAACAGAGGATCTAAAAAATGTGAATAGTTAGAAACTATTTATTCAGATCATCCATAGAAAGTCGCAATTCTTCTTTCATATTTTCTCTTTGTAGTCATGGGTCTTATCAGTATGCTGGGTTAGTTTTAGTAGAATACTGTATTATCTTACTCTGGTTTCCACAAGTTATTGACACACGGCATTTCGTATAGGTATCATTTTAACCTGCCTCAGTTATTATTGTTAACGCACATACTTACATTGTCTGATGTTAAAGAATTAACGTTATCTCAGGATTTATCTTATCGTCTTTTACAAGCCCTCCCCAAAAGTATCTTTATATGATTGAAACCTCCTTAATTGTCTGTGATGTTAATGGATTCATATGTGTCAGAAAATCTTGCCACTTACACGTCACAATATTTCGTAGGGTAAATACAATGGAGCTCAATTTAGCCTTATTGCGAAATAAAATTGATGAGTATTGTACAATCTTATCTCATGTTCCAAGACTGTTTTCTTGTTTGTATTCATTCTGAATTACTCATATATTTTCCATGGTTTCAACGGAATTGGAAAAATGCCATTATGATTTAGTTTGCCCCAGTCTTAACGGTTGCTGATTTTTCTCTATTTTTTTTGTCTTCTTTTTTTTTGGTGATGAATCTGTATGCAAAAGAAGTGAAACTATCTAGTTATAAGTTTTGTTCTTTACATCAAGCAAATACCCACAACAACAACAACAACAACGACAACAAAAAGCAACATAAAACAAATAATTTATATTTCTTGTAATTCAAGATTATTATTAAATCATCAACTACTGAGGCTTTTAGGTGATCTTACACAGCCATGCTCCGGTCACATTTACTCCTGATCTTAATTCTTCAACGGTAATGGTTAGGGTTGCGATTTGGTTTAATATAGGTTAGGGTTATAGGTGATATAGCGTTAAGTCCAGGTTGAAGTTAGGATTTTGGTCAGTGGTAGATATTGAGCGTGGATCAACTGTAAATTACCCCTCCCTCCCTCCTTTTCTCACCTCTCACTGTCATACTCTCATTATTTCTTCTTCCTTCCATGCACCTCTCTCACTCCCTCAAAAGCCCGTTCTCGCCCTCTCGCTCTCTCGGGCTCTCTCTCTCTCTCTCTCTCTCTCTCCCCTCCCTCTCTCGGGCTCTCTCTCTCCCCTCCCTCTCTCTCTCTCTCTCTCTCTCTCTCTCTCTCTCTCTCTCTCATCTCTCTCTTCCCCATATCTTTCTCTCTCCCACTCTCCCCCTCTCTCTCTCTGTTATTCTCTCTCTTTCTCCTCCTCTCTGTTATCTCTTTTTCCTCTCTCTCTCTCTCTCTCTCTCTCTCTCTCTTATCTCTTTCCTTTCTCCCCTCTTCTCTCTCTCTCTCTCTCTCTCTCTCTATCTCTCTATAGTCTCAAGCTCCTGAATGAGAATGTGGGTGAGGGGTGTGGGAAGGAGCCATCTCAAGTCAGGCGAAACATTCAAAAAGAATGAAATTGGGGGTCCTAAATAATGATGTAAAGTTTATGGTGGGTCCTCGCTGACGTATAGGCCTATAAGGGAGAATATGAAGTTGAAGGGTGTGGGCGGGGAGGGGGAGGGGGGTGATGGGTGGGTGGGTAGAACTTTTCTTTATATTTCTTCCTTCGGGGAAGTTTGTGGGAAGGAGCCATCTCAAGTCAGGCGGGCAATAAAAAGAATGAAAATCGGGCCCGTGGGGATGCCGAGTTTTGGGTGGGTCTCAGCTGACGTCTATCGCTGAAATTTCGGGGGGGGGGCAGTGATGGTGGTGTGGTTAAAAAAAATGGAAGGGGTAGCTGACATGAGTCATCAACTAGTTGAGCGTATACTATTAGGTAAACTGCAGGTGACTGCAAATTATTGAATGATCTGTTTTGAAATGCAATAAAAACTGCCGAGCCACGAATCATCTACCGTTTCTTTTCCTAAAATCGTTGGTCTCTAAGGAGCATTTATCTTTCTTCTTTTTTCAGCCCCCAAAGCCTCCCCCGGGCACACTAGTGGTAATTACATGCTTGAGAATGTCTCGTGACTGTGACCACCTCCTAAATATATACTTTCCCATTCTAAAACAATGTGATTCACATACTCGAATTGGCAAAAGTGACTCATTGCATATAGCCTAGACCTATGCCAATTTATCGTGATTAGTATAAACAAATTGAAGAGAAGACAATGAAGATCCTTGCCAAATTGAACAGTTGTTACAAAACTACCGTGTACTTGGATTCGTAGCCAAGTTTGACCACAAAATGTTCTTGATATTGAGTAATCAGCATGATCAGTCAATTTTGTATTAATTCCTTGTTTTCAACTCTGCCCAAGCCAAAGGTTCAGTTTAAAAAAAAAAAAAATCAGTATTACATAAGAGATGTTACACATAATTGAGAAAAATGATGAAAATTTCTTTAAAAATTTCCTCGCGGATTGAAAAAGACGATGGGTAGGCCTATTCGTCTTTTCAATACAAATTTCATTTTTGATTGGCTTGCGCTATAATAGCTTTATCTCTGTGACCCCCAAAATGTCAAACTCGAATCAATATAACCCATGAACAACCGATAGATCTCATTACTATTCTTCAGCTTATATCTGACCAAACATTGCTTCAGCGATGCCGAAAATTCCACAAACACAGTAATAGTCAAACGCTCTGTGGATGTATATTAATGAAGGAAGAGCAATAACTGCTAGAAACCATAATTATTATGTCACATGAAACTGTAAACTGCGACCTTGCTGAATTCATTACCATAGACAGGTTGCTTGTGTTTCCCATTGGATAGCTATTTTCCACGTCACTTTCAATCAGGACTCAGCAAGGTTATTACCGCCAATGCTAAGTTGCTAATCAATTTGAACAAAATACAACAAATGGGCCTCGTTACATTTACGCATCTAATCACGGTCTCAACTGTTCACTTAATTGCAAGGTTATTAATTACTTATTTAATGAGCCTTACATGTTTTTTAATCCCGCATAAATGCAATCAAACAAATGAGTCTGATTTGGGTATGTACAACCATGGACCCTATCCTACTTTCTCTCGTCCTATGTCCATTCGTAATAGGGTCCATGGTACAACATATACTTATTGAACCTTCTCACCAGAGAGTGGAGAGAGAGAGAGGGGGAGAGAAAGAGAAAGAGAGAGAGAGGGGGAGAGAAAGAGAAAGAGAGAGAGAGAGGGGGAGAGAGCGAGAGAGGGGGAGAGAGCGAGAGAGAGAGATAGAGAGAGAGAGCAACTTCAGTTGGCAGTTATTCAACTTGTTTGTGCACATTCTAATGCTCATAATAATGTTGATGGTAAGCATCATATAGATTAGTTCATTAAAAAATAATTCGATCTGCGTGACATTTATTTTTGTTGTTGTAACAAATTAGACTTAATTGACTTAGGGCCAAATATCGTCATCCCGTCTATACCATCATAACCATTCAGTTAATTATTTTGTTCCGATAAAAGCAAACAGCGCCATCATTATAATGGTTAACCTGTCAGTATATTCTTTCCATTTGCCTAAAACATGAAGGGAATGAAAATAAATACATTTTCAGTAACATTCCAATCTTTTCATTAAGGGTTCCTTGTTAAATGACTTTTCTATTTCAATGGCGTATCATGAAGTCTCTTGCGGGGGGGGGGGTACTAGCCAGAAATTTCATGACAAGGAACAAAAGGAAACATTGTCACAATCGAGTAGATGTCAAAAATACTGCCGCCGGGCAAATAATATAATTGGCACATTTTCTGTTTTATCTAGTGTGCATAAGATACTTGAATTCCACTTGGAATGATACGGTAACCAGTGTAGTAAATTGACGCTATACCGAAAAGACATTATCTACTACTAGGGCCTATACCGGTAATGTGGTCGTCATGGCCAGTCCAACAGCGACAGCTTACCAATTATACCCGATGTACTAGTAAAGTCGGCAAAACTTAATAAAAATTATAAGATTGATATCGGAAATTAGAAAATACTCCTGATGACCGACTCATAACGAAGTCGTGCAAGTAAAATATCAGCAGCTTCTAACATGCATAGTGAAGTAGTGGTATAGTATAAAAACTATGACAAATAGGGAGCATTGTTTTCATCCTCCGTGTTCTCAAACATCGTGTATTAACTTTAATACCTTGCCTTATTGAATGAGGAGCACTGGCATGACTGGTAAGGGATTGGAAGATTAAATGTGAGCATTTTCTTTGTTCTTTTTGGTCAAACTCTTCATGGCTACATCGCCGTATCACTGATTAATTAATTAATGATGAAAACATGTATGCGTTGATGAAATAAGAGAATTCACTCATCTTCTCTCTATAGAAACCTTAGCTTAAGTGGAATTGGATAAGACCATAATCAGGTTCAGTTCAAGACAAAGAAAAAACAGTCAATAATTAATCGCTATTGACATTCAGATAAAAACAACAAGCAAACATTTAATCCATAAAGAAATACAATAGGCTTTTTTGACAGCTTTTGCTCGGTAGATTCTACATAAATACAAGGGAGTTTATAAATATGCGAAACTGAGCACATTTGAGAAAGAAAATAGAGAATAGGGGGGGGGTAGAGAAAGAGAGAGAGAGAGAGAAAGAGAGATAGAGAGAGAGAGAGAGAGAGAGAGAGGAGATGGGGCGGAATTGGAGGGCGAGGAATGGGAAGGGTTGTGTTAACAAAATAATTCGTCACAGAGGGCGGCATAACGTGAGGAAACCCTCCACTTTTTGGTGGAAAAAAAAATGTCAAAACGTATCACTTTTGTAAGCAGCAACGAGAATATCATGTCGTCTGGTCTGGACCTAATTGCGAAAACCCAACCTTTCAGCACAACCTGGGAGGTGTCTGCCAGATCCAGGATCGGATCTACTTCTTAAAGTAGATCCAGGCCTGAACCTAAAACATTAATCGCATGATTCCTAAGATAAAAACGACAGTGTTAACAGCGATTGCGTCCACATACTACCCTCTTTCTAAAAACTTTGAACTCAAGAACCGTCAAGAACTGAATGTAAATTGTGGTAACTGTTCAACTTTGGGCGTGGATCTTTAGATATCGACGTTCTGTGTGAGGGATGACAAGATAATGCATACAACCGCATCAACAAATTTAGAATTATCTCCTTCTTAGCGGAGTGAGCTAATAGGGATTTTATAATTTTTTTGAGAGTGGTTGTATATAGGAGTTGAATAAACAAAAGAGGACAAGTGGATCATTTGAATGCTACTGTTTTAGAGATCTTTGACATTTCGAGGACTTAGGCTCTTAAAACCGGCAGATAGTGAAGTGGTTCTACCCCAGCCGCCCGGCGAGACTCTGTGGATCTCTGTCAACATACCGCTTTGTCGTGATTCATTATGCGGTTAGCGCATTAGCTTGAGAGTCCCTGTAACGTGTAGCTTCTTTGTAGCCATCTATTTGCAGAAGACGGGTAAATCCTCTTGTTCCATTCTTAGACAAGACGCACCAGAGTCATGTTTAGCTTGACCTCCTGCGTGTACTGCAGGATCCAAGGGTCTCTAACAGCTGACCACAGAACCACGTCAATGACATCGTCAAAGGCACATTG